TTGTTGTTGAATTGTGCTATACAAATAAACTTGCCTTGCCTTGCCTTGCTTCTGGGTTCGGGTGGCGTTTGGGTGGTGACCCTAAACTCTGCAGCTTTTACTTGGAGCTGTTGAACGTTGACCAGAGGCAGATGTATTGGGGTGTGGTGTTCAGTTTGAAGAAGGGCTGCGACTCACAAGGACTGAAAATGCAGAAGTGTTTTATCTGTGCTGTGATGCAACATCAGAGGCAGGAAATCAGCAGAAAGTCATAAACGCACACACACTGAGCTGATCTCAGTAACCTCTGACCTCACAGCTTGAACTGTGACCACATTCAGCACACACACATTATTAGAATAAGACATACTCTCAGGTAAAGGTACCGGTCGTATCTCAGGGATGTTGAAGTGTGCTTACACGGTGGGCTGGACCGGTGAAGCAGTCCTTCCTGTCTCAGTAATGACTGCACGTCTCATCCCTGACGCTTTCTTTTGGTAGCTCATTTGCCAAACTGTCCTAGATTAGCCCAAGGTTTCAATAAATCAGAAAATGTTTACCTATAACTGGCAGGCGGTGCCAGTTGCATGCTCTCTTTACACAGAATGCATCTTTAAAATCCTTGATGCTGGTTTCACCAACTGGTATTCCAGGAAAGTGCAGTCCAGCGTTTGGCTAACGTCAGTGGCTCACAGCTCCTGTGGCTTTTTAACAAGTCCATCAAATTCCCCGACCACTTCGGGGGGCTGTTACAGTCAGTGGTTTGAGGTGAAGCTGAGAAGAATAATGGCTTTTTTCTCAACCTGAACACAGATAAAGGCTCAGCCATGCTTCACGGGGAGGACAGCTGTACGGCAGTAGAAGATGGTGGTGAGGAGGACCAGCACCGGCCTCTTATCCTGGAAAGAATTGAGAAGGAAACGGGAAGAACCTGGAGAACGGTTTTGTCTCAGCGGCTCAGGAAGCACTGCTCCTGCACGCCAGAGAAGGCCAAATCCAGAATCCTCAGCTTCTTCCCGGTTCTCCAGTGGCTGCCGCGCTACAAGCTCAGGGACTGGATCCTGGGGGATGTTATGTCAGGAGTGATTGTTGGAATCCTATTGGTTCCCCAGTCCATAGCCTACTCCTTATTGGCCAACCAGGATCCCATATACGGCCTGTACACGTCTTTCTTCGCTTCCATCATCTACGCCCTCCTGGGCACTTCCAGGCACATCTCGGTGGGGATTTTTGGAGTGCTCTGTCTGCTCATTGGCCAGGTGGTGGACAGGGAGTTGGCCCTGGCGGGATACCTCCCGGAGAGCAGCCTGAGTGGGAATGACAGCAGTGTCCCGTTGGCTGGAAATGACAGTGGTGTGGTGGGATGTGACCGGAGCTGCTACGCGATTGCCGTGGGGGCCACAGTTACCTTTACTGCTGGGATTTACCAGGTAAGTGTGCAGGGGCACATGTGGGCTTTAATGACTGAGCATAGAACGACACTACCTTACTTCTGCTCATCTCTTTCAGGTGCTAATGGGCCTTCTGCAGGTGGGCTTTGTGTCTGTCTACCTGTCGGACTCCCTCCTCAGCGGGTTTGCTACAGGAGCCTCCTTGACCATCCTGACGTCTCAGATCAAGTACCTGCTGGGCCTGAAGATCCCCCGTCCTCAGGGCTGGTTCACTCTGTTTAAGACATGGTACGGCCTGCTGAGCAACCTCGGGAACACCAATGTGTGTGACCTCATCACCAGTCTGGTGTGTTTGGCAGTACTCATACCTACGAAGGAGCTCAATGACCGCTTCAAGTCCAAGCTGAAGGTAAAAGTGTGGCGATATAACACTCCAGTAAAACTAAAATTAAACCTCCTTTTGGCACCGTCAACCCTAAGGATGCTGTTGGTGGCTCACCTGGTCATTTTGTGAAATAAACTCAACTGTTGGTTTGTTTCCTTACCGAACACATTTCCCTTTGTAAATTTATTATTTATTTATTATTATTTGTATAATTTTCCTTATTATACAAATATTCATTCTATGAAAACAAAAAGCACCCTGTTTCTACCTGTGTGGTTTACTCTGTCCTCGCCCTCACCTGTCCTTCTCTAGGCTCCGATCCCATTCGAGCTCTTTGTGGTGATAATTGCCACCCTCGCATCTCACTTTGGCCATTTCAACACCGAATATGGGTCAGGTGTGGCTGGGGCCATCCCCACAGGCTTCCTCCCTCCTCAAATGCCCATGTGGTCTCTGATCCCCAACGTGGCCGTCGACGCCTTCTCCATCGCCATCGTGGGATTCGCCATCACCATCTCACTGTCGGAGATGTTCGCCAAGAAGCACGGCTACACGGTGGATGCCAACCAGGAGATGTATGCCATCGGGTTCTGCAATATCCTGCCATCGTTCTTCCACTGCTTCACCACCAGCGCCGCGCTGACCAAAACCCTCGTCAAGGAGTCGACCGGGTGCCAGACGCAGCTGTCAGGGCTGATCAGTGCTCTCCTCCTGTTGCTGGTTCTTCTGGTGATCGCGCCGCTCTTCTATTCCCTCCAGAAGTAAGAAAAGCAGGACGTCAGTCTAACCTCTAAATGATTGCTAACTAGTCTTCTTGCAGACTGACCTCCTGATGAGGTCGTTCGAGTCTCGATCTTAAGTTTTAATCGGAGCAGCTTTTATGGCTTGTGCCGTCTTTACCCCATCACTCCTTCAGCTCTTCCACGCTGAGGACGTTGATGCAGGTAGAGGCCACAGCTGTGTGTAAGCTTCTGATAGGCTGCGGTGATCTTCACCTCTCTCCTCTCCTGTTTCTGCTCAGGTGTGTTCTTGCTGCCATCATCGTGGTGAACCTCCGCGGTGCTCTTCGAAAGTTCACCGACATTCCCTGCATGTGGCGTGCCAACCGCATCGACGCCTTCATCTGGCTGATCACCATGGCAACCTCAGCGCTGGTCAACACGGAGATGGGGCTTCTTGTGGGGGTTTTGGTGTCGGCTTTCTGTGTCCTGGGCCGAACTCAGCGGGTCCAGGTCCTGAAGCTCGGCCGGGCTATGACCAGGGAGCATTACGAAGATCTGGCGTCTTACAAAGGCCTCCAAACGCACCCCAACGTGGCCATCTTTAGATACGAAGCGCCAATCTACTATGCCAACCAGAGCCTGTTTAAAAAGTCTCTGTACAGGTGTGTAGGACTTGACCCTGTGAAGGAGAAGAGCCGCCGTGTCAAGTTCCAGAACAGCAAACTGCAGGAAGAGGCTGCCGGAGTCCCAACTAGCAAAACGGACGAGAAAGAGGCCGAAACTCCTGCAGCCGTCACCCTGATGATGGACACAGCCTCCCGTTACTTACGCAGGATAGTGATCGACTGCAGCGCCGTCTTGTTTCTGGACACTGCCGGAGTGAATGCTCTAAAGGAGGTCCGCAAAGATTACGGAGAGCTGGGGGTGGCGGTGGAGTTGGCTCAGTGTAAGACCTCTGTGCTGGACACGTTGGAACGAGGAGGATACTACTGCAACCAAAAAGGAGGCGACGCAGGAGAGAACCGCACGATCTTCTTCACTATCGAAGACGCCGTCCGCCACGTCGAAAGCCGCAGCACTCCTAACGGAGACTATAAGTCCTAAAGAGACAACACGTCTATGTTTACATGTCTGCAGCGTGTGGCTGCACAGATGTGCCTTTGTAACAGTTTTCTGAAGTCCTACCTTCATCTCAGGTTTCTGCATCCAGACAGGTGATCAATCACCACAGTGTGAACGTCCATGTACCGATAACTCACCTGTGGACTGTATAAGAAGAACCAGCCACCCACGAGGAAAGAATACCCAGACCCTACCTGACAGCTTGAGTCTGTGTCTAAGGCAGACTCAGCAAGTTTACATCTGCATAGTACAAGTGCTGCACAGTGTAAAATATGTGTTTTATACTGCACGTGGGAAATATGTGTTTCATAATGCACAGTACTGCACAGTGAGTACAAGTACTGCACAGTGTGAAGTTCAATTCAATTGTGCAGTTGGAAGTGTTCCCAACTGCACAGTACAAGTACTGCACTCTGTGTACAAGTACTGTACAGTGTGAAATATGTGTTTCATAATGCACAGTACTGCACAGTGTGTACAGCACAATGTGATATGTGTTTTATACTGCAGAGTACAAGTACTGCACTCTGTGTACAAGTACTGTACAGTATGACACTGGTCATGCCCTAGTGTTGTTTATAGAAACCAGAGCCGTATTCTGACTTAATTTTTAGATACTGAGTCGGAACGATGCACGTGCACATGTTCAGGATGACGACTGGGGTTAGGATTTAAAACAGGTGTAAATGATTTAGTATTTTTTTTTTTTTGTTTTTTTTTATAAGGTATAAACTGGATTTTTTGCCACAATCAAAAACGATCGTAATCGTCTGCTGTTTCGTGTTTGGGTCTATCAGTCCAATCATGACTGACGCCTCAGGGCAGGAAGTTTGAAACACATGTAGAAAAAAGCAGCAGCTCTGCTGCTCTGAGGAGAGACATTGGAGGTATCTAAATGCTTTAGATTTTTAGATCAGAACCCTGCTGGATAAAAACATAGATTCTTCATATGTGCTTAATAAGAAGCAGCCATCCTGTGCCTGAACATGAATGTACGTGCAATGACCCGAGGAAGCATTTGTCTGTTAGCACTGATCACAGGTGTATGCATGTGCTTCCAGATCCTCTGACAGACGAATATTCCTCCGGTGAGGATGAGAGACTCTTCCTGTTTAACTGTTAGCTGCAGTCACATGACCTTGGCCTGTGCCTTCTTTCTGTGAATCGGGTAATGAATTAGGCAAAGTTCGAGTTGAAGAAAAACAAAAGTGCAGTGTGAGATTTCGAGGTTGCTGTGATGTTGATTCGTGGGGGTCAGAGATCATGGGTTGTGCCTTAGTTAACCTGACCCCCCCACACACACACACACACACACACACACACACACAAACGATGAACATAGCCTCCCGTTACTTACGCAGAGTAGTGATCGACTGCAGCGCCATCTTGTTCCTTGACACTGCCGGAGTGAATGCTCTAAAGGGGGTCCACAAGGATTACGGAGAGCTGGAGGTGGCGGTGGAGTTGGCTCAGTGTAAGACCTCCGTGCTGGACACGCTGGAACGAGGAGGATACTATTGCAACCAAAAAGGAGGCGACAACACACACATACACACAGCAGAGATGGGTTTTGATGTACTTTCTGTAGCTTTAATGAAACCTGCCTCAATAAACTTGGTAGCATTATTATTCATAGAACACTTAATTATTAGAAAGGCCGAAGTTAGTTCTTAAGCAGATGTATTCTACAGTTTTTTATTATGAGAAAATTTTTTATGTATACGTGTTTCTGAGTATGTGCCTAAAGCTTATGCACTAAAATTTTGTACATGAGTTTTACCGTAAAGCAGCACAATCCTGGCAGCAGTTTTACTCTTTGCGCTTTTCAAAGCTGTTTTATTAACTTAAATATCCAAACTCTCCATCCTGCTTCCATCTCAAAGGGTTTAATCATGATAATCAGATAATTGAGCGGCTTATCTCAGCTGAGACCAGAAAAGTTTTTTTGCTCTTGACCTTTCAACCCTGCTTTGTTTAATGTATGTTCACAGCACCAACGTTAAGTTTTAATGCTTGAACCTTTTAACTAGCTGATCAGGGTAAGAACAGAAGTTTGTTCTCAATGCAAAAGTGTTGCTGAAATGGAGCGTGCTGATATGCAGTGATGGAAGATTTTAAACTGGGAAAATCTTTGTAGAGTTGTTTTTATACTGGGTGTATGTGACAGGACGTGGCGTTTCCAGCCTCTGTCCTTGCTAATTTAAAGCAGTAGTGGTATATATTTTATAGCTGTTTTTACAGAGAAAATCAAAAAGAATTATGGATTAGTTTTGCTGCAGAGTTGTAAAAGTTGATCACACAGCTGTTGATGGAGGTGAATATGCTCGGTGACGCGAGTTTCATGTCGTTCTCCCTGAATGCTTGCCCGAGCAGCTAAACACACACCCGGTGCTTTTAGAGAACAAAGTCCTCGCTTCTGTATCTAAATGTTAAACAGAAAAACATGACGTAAGCTCCCATTTATTCCAATCAGCTTATTTAAGTTTATTGTGTATCCTGGTATCAGAATGAAGCTGTGTTTTACTGGAAAATAAAATCCTGTCTGATTCCTCTCTTGTTTTTCTTCATTACTGCATTTACATAGTCAGCTCTTATTCTGTAACAGTGGTTTTCTGTGTGACGATTTCCTTCATTAAACCAAAGTTAATGCACTCGATGAGTCCAGATGAGAAAACAGAAGACCTGCAGTATAAAAAGCAGTTTTAAAGTGGAGGGAAAGTAAAGAGAGACTCGTTTGGTCTGTGGGGAGTTTCATGGTACTGAACAATAATTGTAGAAAAGATGGACAATGCCACAGCACTTCCTCCCATTGCACAAAAATGAAGCCAAAATACCCCTCTTGTGGGAGCTGCCGTGTTGCGCTTTTGGAGCTGGAGTCTGGCTGGTAGAGACTTGAAGTGAAGTATCTGTGTGACCCTCCCGCCCACACACCCACTGGACGTGACCGCAAACACACCTATGAGCTCAAATTGTGGTCATAAATATTTTTTACTTGTAAATCAGGATTTGTATGTGTTTTACACACACAAATTTGTATTTGGTTTACACATACAAATTTGTGTGTGTGTAAAAAATATTTGTGTGTGCACATAGCAAAAAGATACATGTGAAACTCTGCACTCAAGTTTCAACTTACAAGTACGAATTTTGACCCTATTTTTCTTCCTTTCAGCTGATTGGTCAATGTCATGTCAAACTGACACAAACTGAACTATCCAATCAGAGAACAGATGGGTTTGGCTGTCGAAGGGATGCTTTACTGAGTTCCAGGTCCTTGAAGGGTAATACAGTTTGAAGCTGGAGGATCTTTATATAAATATAAGCTAGGTCCTTTAACTTTTGGTAGCTGTTGAAAGGATACAGTTGTAGTATACCAGTGTTCAGAAATACCATTATTACTTTAGTATTACTATAACACAAAATCACAGTTCACCCAGGACCACTGCTATGAGTCACACTAAGCATCGGACGCAGCATGATCTGTGCTCACCGCTAACTAAGAGTGAAGGATCCTGAATTTGTTGCGCTGGCTGTTGAGCTCTGCTCGTATATTGTTTTTTTGTGGTCTAGGTGTACTAGATGCACCTGATCCTTGTCGTTTCAAAACGTATCTCTCTGACTTTATGTCCTCTACGAGAGTTTGTGTTGTATTATGTTCAAATGTTTAATAAAAACGTATCGCTCATTCATAACAAGGAAAGCTTTGTAACTCTCCCGATTAGAGAAGAGTGTGTCATTTCCACATGCTTTTCCTCCGAGGTCGACCTCCCTTGAAAACGCTCTGGAGGTCCCTGTGTAAGCACGTCAACCTGTGAGAAAAAGTTTACTTGGACACCCAGATGTTTTCCTTCATGGTGTGGCGAGAAGAGACGTGAAAGGGCATTTATCCTTCAAGGACCTGCAGTTCAAAAAAGCGCCCCTTCGACAGCCAAAACCATCTGTTCTCTGATTGGATAGATCACTTTGGTCAATGTCATGTCAATCACAATCAGCTGAAAGGAAGAAAAATGGGGTCAAAATTCATACTTGTAAGTTGAAACTTAAGATAAGATAAAACTTTATTAATCCCTCAGGTGGGTTCCTCTGGGAAATTCGGTTTCCAAAAAGCACAGCACCGACAGAAGTTACAGAGTTACAGAATATTATATATATATACACACACACACACACATATATAAATACAGAGACAAATATAAATAAAATATACGAAGGGGATGAATAGAATAAATAGGAATAAAAATACAAGTGAATTGCACATTTCAAGTATTGAGGTCTATTGCACCATTGACTATTAACAAAAGTATTGCACAAAGGTATTGCACAGTGAAGTGAAGAGGCACTACAGCTTAGTTGTTCCCCCCTCCTTTGTCCTCCTGTTTCCCCTCCAGAGAGGAGTTAAACAGTCTGATGGCGTGTGGGACAAAGGAGTTTTTAAGTCTGTTGGTTCTTGTCTTGGGGAGAAGCAACCTGTCGCTGAACAGACTCTTCTGGTTGTTAATGGCCATGTGCAGAGGATGCCTGGCATTGTTCATAATGTCCAGCAGTTC